CTTTATATTTCAGAGCAAGGTATTTTAATATTAAAACTTTCAAACCAAAAGGAAAAGAAAGCACAGGGGCTTTTACACAGCCGCAAGCAATAAACATAGAATTTACTTCCTCTTGGTAACAGTCTGCTTTCGATATTTCAAACAATTTCAACCACCGCCCACAACATACTCCACCGAAACTGACACCTTCGGGATATTGGGGGAATGTTTTGATATTGGCCAGTATTAGCCCGTATTTGTCGCGCAAACATGGCGAGGAAAGCAACAGGCATTGCTAAAGCATGATATTAAGAAGGTTTGTGAATTAAACTAAAGAAGTACAGGATTCCTAATGGTAAATATTTGTTAGGTTAAATTTAAGTCACACAAAACCATGAAAAAGCTTAGTCGGATAGAGAAGGATACATGTAATTTATCAGCCACTCAAAAAGAGATAAACAAATTTCCGGAAAACCACGATGAAACCGCAGTGAAGAATCCGGATTTTCACTCGCGCTTTTTTTTTTCATATGCATGCGCATACAGTCATGAAATCGTCGTGAAAATCGCAGCGGGAATCGTTTCCTAAATAGCACTAGAAATCGTCCATGCGGGCAACCCCTAGACACAACATGTCTTCCTCTAAAATAGAGACAACTTTATGGATGATAATGTCAAGAAGAATTTCAAGAAAAACGAACAGATGCTTCTCTTTGTTCGTAAAGTTTGTAGTGTAAGCCGAGCGCTAGAAACCTATGTTTGGTCTTCATTTTTTTTATACATGTTATGGAACAGCGGACTTTAGGCACTCGGTTTGTCCCATGACTTCCTGTACAGGACCTCATTTTTCAATATCGCTGTTTTCCAGATCTAACTTCCCTATAGCTCGTCGATTGTTTTTAATTGTACTTTTGATAGTTCTGACCTTTTCTTTCAATACGCTCAGGACAATTTGGGGCTAACCCCAGCGACAGCCAACTTCAGATCACATTCTGCTCACATGTCCGCATTATCAAGCAGGTAGCATTGTGGATGCTTTCTCGACTTTACATTCACAGCAGGTTGGGATCGACTGATGGTTTAAAGGTTAAAATCGGTCAGGATATTAAGGCACCTCTTCCTTTCCAAAAAGAAGACAATGTTCTTACAATGTGAAGTTTGTTACGAACATCCAAGTATTTGTATCTCAACATTAATTGTCTCTTAATTTCATCGTAAAGCTCAGTTTTTTTCTTTGTCCCATCCTCGTGACAAGACGAAAAACATTTTTCTCTATTTCTTTATCGAGCTCAAAACTTACCATCTCTCTTATCCATCTCTCTTATTCTATTTACGAACATGACGCTATCGACATTGCTGATCCTAGCAGTATGCAGGACGCGTGTCATATGAACTTTGTAACCGTAGAGTCTCTGTGGCTCAGTGATAGAGCATCGGAGCTGAGAGCGCGGAATCCGAAGGTCTGAGGTTCGATCCCTCGTGGGAACTCAGAATTTTTTCTTTGTCCCACGCTGGTGACGAAACGAAAAACATCTTCCTCTGTTTCTTTACCGAGCTCAAAACTTACCGTCTCTCTTAATCTATTTATAAACTAATTATTTATTCGTAATACAGCTTCCTTCAGCGCGAGGGTATGCAGCAAAAGAGCAAACTATTCTGAATTCGGAATCGCCACAGCCCGCTGGCGGCGCTGTATGCCCGCTGTATGTCTTCACTCTTCATGGGGGAATCCTTATTCATGTATACCGCGCGTTATATGTGCTACCGCCAATGTGTAAGTTTTTATTTGCTGAAGGAAGTATTCACGTTGCGTTACAGCTTGAAACAGGTATGTGTAACTAACCAGTTCCTTCTATCTCAACATAGGATGTTTCTAATTTTCTTCCGGAAGAGTCTAACATTTCCTTTTTATGCAGCTTCCTACAGCGCGAAGGCATGAAGCAAAAAGCGAGCAACTTAAAGAGACTTGCAAAAAGATCACGCTCAATTTGTCTTCGTGAAAGAGGAAGTTTGTTTGGTCCGCTCTGGCCTTCGTTACTGCAACAATCACAATATTGCGGCAGAGACCTGAAGAATTATGATTTAAAAAAAAGGAAATACTTGGGTTTTTTTAAAATACAACCATCCTTAACCACAATCTCAAGTTGCTAGAACATATGATATGTATTTGTGGTCACGCTCCAGAATCCTAGTATACGTTTGAATATCACACGCAAAACTCTTCAGTAGATAGGAAGACTTTATATTAGTTATTGGAATAAGCATTTCACGTGAAGGGAGCTGAAAGACGATCCAAATTGTCCTGGAACATTTGTTGTCTTCCCAACAACGAAGACAGTTTTTCCCCCTTGTCAGAAGGCCCGAAAATTAGGATTTTACTGTGTAAATATCAAAATTAAAAAAATATCACACAAAATAGTCATAATATCAATTTTAGGTTGAGAAACATCCACAGCATTCTCTCTTAAAATTCTAATAACCCTCCATACAACAAACGTATAATTCATCATGCACGCAGTCTCCAGTAAGGCGAAAATCCAACTAATTCCTTGGAGAGATAATTCACTCCTGCCGTATCGCAGTCCAGAATATGAATTTTCTAAGAAAAATTTTTTTTTCCGTCTTGTCATGAGCGTAAGATAAATAAAAAGTTCTGAGTCCCCATGAGTGTTGGATGTTCGGGCTTCAAATTTTACGCTCCGATTCTCTCCACCACTGAGCCACATAGAATCTATACGGTGGGCCAGTCCATTCCTAGGGAAGCCGAGAGTTAGAACTTGTAACTGTCTCTTTCCGACCGGGTGGGTTTTCGTTATACCTCGCTCCTGAGTTCTTGACCAGCCATCCTCCAAACCACGAATGAAACGAGCGGCTGAACTTTGGAAGTCTCCAGGCATACAAGAAGGGATTGATCATGGAACTAATGGTCAGAAATTCGTTCGTAACATAATAATAAACATGATAGGCGTAGGAGTTTCGACAGGAACAAAAGTATAAAATCTGTACATGAATGAAATAAGGTACAAATGATACATAGAATATAAAAAGGATGAACACAAATGCCCTAAACATTCTGTTCTCTTTTTCCAATTGTTTCCTTTTGTTGGCCGCTGTGAGACTCTTGCGGACATTTTTAAGTTCCTCTCTTTGACGGGCAACCGCCCTGGATATTTTAACATAAACTGCTGTTAGAATAAATGCTGGAATCACGAAATGAGAGTAGCAGTAAGCCAACAAAAAGTTCTCTCTTTTCACGTCAGCTATGGGAAGAACAGACATAATTAATCCGTTTATCCAAATTACTGCGATAGCAATCTTGGCTTTTTTGTTGGTGATTTTATGAGGATATTGAAAAGGTTTGATCACTGCAACATATCGTTCGTAAGACATCGCCAAGAGCGTTGAAACTGCGGCGAGAATCGAAACAGCTCCGATAAAATATTGAACCAGGTTAACAATGAGCAGGCTTCCCAAACCACGGTAGAAGTGAGTTAATTCGACACCTCGTAGAATGCTCACAATTCCAACTAAAAAATCCGCGACTGAAAGATTGGCGATGAGGAACACATATGGAGTGCGCAAACATCGACAGGGATCTCGGTAAATTGTGATGAGGAGAAAGCCGTTGGCAAGAATGATAAAAGTACCCGAAATGAAGTCAAAAATAGCAAAGATGACAACGTTAGCACCGACCACCTCAGTACTGGGTAAATAGGTAGGCTCCGACAGATTCATGTTCGATGTTTAAAACCATGCCATGAATTCGAAATTATGCTGAATTAATAGTCTCCTGTTTAACAATGGAAACTGAAATCTGTCTGCGGTCCGTTTAACATAAATATCCGTTTAACACGCAAATATGCAGCTTTGATCACAGACCCAAGTAATGTGTCCGTGACAGGCTCACGTACAAATCTCCGATGGTTATCTTTTGGTCAAAATATTGAATGTATGCAAAACAGCCGCTTTAATGTTCTTGACACCTACTTCTGTACGTACTGGCCCCATTCCAAATTTTATTTATATTAGCCTCCTTTGAATCGCTGCATCCACGAAGAATTAAAGTGTGCGCTTAAGGAAGCAAAAATTGAAGACATTTCTGAGTGACGGGAACATAGAGATGAATAAAACCATTCTCTGACGTTCAAACGCTCTTTGTTTGAAGAAAAATAAAGTTTGTTTTCTTCTAATAACTTTGTACCTGAAATCGGGAATTTTTGAAGCTCGGAAATGACCTCTTACACACATACCCGCATATACGCAAATGAATTTCCGTGTAATGATCTCATATGTTCCTTTAATTTCGGTCTCATGGCTGCAAAAAAATCTTCTCGAACCTTGATCACCAAAAGGTGCGAGTGTTTTTGCTCTGATATGAAATTACTTTCCTAAGCAAGAGAAACAACTGACCATGATTCAGTTGAATACAACTTTCGGAAAGACTCAGTCATAAAACATCGCCGCTGTTCGTCTGATTAAGGAAGTTACCTTACATTACACTGACGTAACATGAATAGAGTCTTTTTTTTTTAAGAATGAAAAGGAAAGTTTTCCAAGTGTCTTATATTATTTCTTTGTTTTTTTCTTCCTGTCTCTACCAGTGTTACATTTACGAATCCTTTCGTTTCTTTCATTTTCAAAATTGTAAACGCACTATTAATTTTTTACAATTTTTTCGTAACAGTTACAGTAGGTTGGTCTTTTCCAACAGACTCGTTTGGTAATATTTAATTTCTTGGTTATATAGACATCGGATCATTCTTGTATTAGGTTTCAATTTTGTTTCTTCTCCGCCCACTAAGGACTTGGTAAGGAAGGGACACTCGGTTCAAGAGTTCCTACAAAGCAATATTCAGTGAAAATGATACGTTGATGGTACAATTTGAAGAACACTTACAAATCAAATATGTACACTTATGTTTAAATTTTTCATTCATCGTAGTCCGTAAACCTTTTTTTTTTTTTTTCAATGATCTACATTTCTTTACGATGTAAATATTACATTCACAGAAATGTGCGTAAATAATATTTTAATTTATTTTCAGTTTGTACCATGAAACCATGCAGTAAGATTGAGGCTGCGTTTGACTTCGCTGTAACAGTATAAATACACGCTATACAAGACCTGTTTATAAAATTAAGTATTTTTCTTACAATTATAACGACAGTATAAATCTGGAAAGCAAACATGTCATACTCTAAATCCGTAGGTAGCGCTCGTCATGAAAAAAATGTGCATCCCTCAAAAAGAATATTAACCCTTTTAACTCCCACATTAAAATTGTAATTCTCCTTACTGTCAACCATACCATTCTTATCATGCTAGTTCAGAGAATTTAGTATTGGATCAACTAATTATCCCCAAATTGATATTTCTCTTTATTCTCATCACTTATCTGGTTGGTATTGTATTGATGGTGTAAGGAGAAATTCTGTCTTGGTCACTCATGGGAGTTAAAGGGTTAAATGAAAACAATATAAACTGCAAGATGTTGTCAGATCAGTTGAGGGGACGTGTTCGCCTTTTAACGCTTTGGGTCAGTAAACCGGCTGCCAAAAAAAACTCAGAGTGAAAAAAGAGAGTCGAAAGTCCTCCTCTGATTGTGTTATTATTTCGCTTTGTGTTTCCTTCTCCGTTTACAATTTGAACGCTGGGACTCGTATGAAATTTGGTGCAACAACCCACAACAAAACAGACTGGAACCTCAGGGCAAGCAAGGTTGTGCAGATAAGTTAAGAAATCTTATTTGAAGAATGCATAATACATGATATAAACTCGACCTTACAGTACCACCATTCCATGGTTACTGTACAATACGCAGAATATCTTCGACTTCAGTGGAATATGCTGTAAGTACTGGATTGGGTTTTTGAAGGAAACACATTAGCAACTGTTTTAGGATTGGTGGGAAATAGCTCTCCTCCAGTGCATGACGCAAAAGTTTAAAAGCGGTGCCATGATTCCTAACAATTTCAACGAAACGTTCACTTTTCAATAAACCAAGATGAATAAGAATGCTTTCGCCTATTCGCCATGCGTTACAACTCAGCGTCACAAAAGCTCTCGTAAACAATGCATCAGCACACGATAAAAGTTCTTCCTTGTATCCTTCGAGCGCAAGAATGTCGCAAACCCGTTTGAAACTTTTTCCCGTGTCGCTTTCGGCTTCCTGACATGAAGTGGGAAGTACCTCTTTGGTTACCGCAGACGCCAGTGCTCGAAGGCGCAGATGATCCAATCCGAACAACTTGGGGCTTGACTTAGATAGAAAAGAAGCAAAGATGGCGGCCAGATTTCTCGGGAAATATTCTTCAGCGCATAAGTGTTCCAGGGCTAAGAGCGGCCCCGTTAGGTCTGTAATAATTTCCACGTCATCTTCTTGTTTGAGAAGACCCGTTCTCACTAAAATACAAGTTCCCAGGGCGATCGCGTCAGCTTGTGGATGGCAAAGTCCGAGCTTTAACACGGCGCCTGCGCAACTAAGTAACAACCGCCGGTCGCTCACAAAGACAACGCAGACATGGAGAAAAACCTTTGCTATTTTATCTGCGTCCCACGAGCCACACGCAGTTATGACTTTCTCTAAAAGCGAGCTAAAAGGTAAATTTCGTTTCTTTGTGGAGTAAACAGAAATGTCTGAATTCTGACAGAAGATTTCTAAAGTAGCCTCAATAAATGACGTAGGAGTACTTTTCATGGTAATGACGTCATCCAAACGCGAAAGATAAATTTCAATGTTGTCTGTAAGGAGACCGCTGTCCGTGCGATCAAATACCTGTTTGATGTTTTCTGAATCCTTGATAGAAATCATGAGATTGTTTAGCCTATTAAGGCCTTTCTCTATAGCCTCATTGTCCATCTCTGGAGGATTTTCTTCACAGAGTTCGATAAAAGTTGGGTCTTCACATAGAGTTGTCATGGTTGTCTGATCATACACGTTCTCGAGTTCCGATATGGAGGTGACCGTTTTCGCATTGCTAAGTGGTGCTGTTGATATCTTTTCTTCATTGACTTTCAAGTCTTTCAAAATAGATTCCTTCTCTTGCAATTTCCATTTCGATGGCGGTGGTAAGCTCTGATGTTGCTTCGGTATCAACCACGATCTCTCTCGAGAAAATGAAAAAGAATCTTTCACGCCCTGCAGTAGTTCGACCAGTAAACTCGAACCCGGGTAACACGCAAGAACTTGACTTCCCACGAATTCGCCGGGCTTTAGGTAAAAATCACACACACATTGTTCTCCAGATTCATCAGTCAGTTTTAATGAGGTGCGCGTTGCGAGGGAATGCTGAATAAGAGAAGTAAAAATTAAATCCCGTAAATTTCTTTCGATAGATTTCAGCTTTTTCCTTGAATCCCAATTTGTTAAACCGTCTAGTACGTTTCTCTTCTGTGTTAACAGAGCCATGATAAAGTGCAGCGTTTTCAAAGATGCCTCTCTTTTCTCAGCCTTGTCTACGAGCTTCAACGACTTTGTATCATCCGTTTTTTTAGAATAAATAGAGGTCCTTTCCACGAGTTTTTCCGCCTTACGTTCTCCGTTAGATATTTGACTGTTTTTAGTTGTGCCATCCTGATAAAGGCTCTCCTCAGAGGTCGTTTCTCCTCCAGAGCGTCGCTTCCGCCGGGATTTATAGTGGAGTAAAATGTCTGCACTTGCTTTCTGGTTAAAATTAAAAGCCAAACCGACGGCCGTGAAACCAAGTTTGTCCTTAATATTTCTGTCACAACCATTGTCGAGTAGCACTTTTAGATTTTGAAGGTTTCCTAGCTTAGCGGCAAGATGGAGAGCGGTTCTTCCCAGTTTGTTACGCTCGTTGACATTGCAAGACGCCGATGCTAAAACGCGCAAGATTTCGTCAGCTCTTTTCTGTTCACTACTGATGTGTAGCGAAGTCATCCCTTCCTGGAATAGACAGTTTGTTAAGATTTCGTAATCGGAGCGTAAGCTGGAAATTCTCTAAGTAAACGTTAGCCTATGAGACACTTTCTACAGTACAGAAATTAAAATTAACTTCAGGTTTCGATCAGGGGAAGCTGCGTATAGTGCCTCTTTAACTTTCCAGTTCAGCACTCACTAGCTTGTTCCAGAATTTCAGTTAGTAAAGTGATACGCGATAGTAAACAGTGCTATAGTGGCGGAGGAGTGAAAATACAACAGAGGTTTGGGTCGGGACGCATATTGTTCTTTACCCGACCCGACCCGACCCGACCCGACCCGACCCGACCCGACCCGACCCGACCCGACCCGACCCGACCCGACCCGACCCGACCCGACCCGACCCGACCCGACCCGACCCGACCCGACCTAGACCTCCCTCGCTTTTTTCTGCTCCGCTGAAATGACGCCGTTTGTCTTTCTCTCCATTCTACTAACTAAACACCTGGAACAGGCTTAGTACTCACTCTTGTATTATTCAATGCGAGGACTTTTCAGTGATATTAAAATGAGCTTACTTTCGTGCGACTATTGACGTCACATCCTGCCAAAACCAGAATTTCAACGAGATCTCTATTTCCCTGTAAGGTGGCCAGATGAAGCGCAGTGAAACCCATGGAGTCTCGCCACTCGAGGTCGCATGTTCGTGTTGATCCTGTTAGGCTGCGAACGGCTTTGAGGTTCTGTGTAACCACAGCGTTATGGAGGGCAGAATATCCATACATGTCTAGGCAAAAAATAATAATTGAAAAAGGCCTCAAACTTCAATTCTGCACGTTTTGCTAAGCATTGTGTCATGCTAGACCTCCTCAATCTGAAAATATTTCTCTCAAAGCATTAAGAGAAGTCTTTCTGCGTGGAATTAAACGCCGCTTCCCCTTACGCGCTACATTTGCGGACAACAACAGCAGCAAATAAACTTGTCGTTATGAACGCCGTTTTGGAGACAGGTGGCTCTGTCAAGACAGACCATTACATCTTAATGTCATCAATATTGACCTTTACAGCCAGAAGATTCTCTCAAAATCAGCCCACGCAAGTTACTCTGCATGTTTCGTTTTCATACTTGTTGTTGCATTCTAGTTAACCTGGGATTACTGAAACACTGAAACGCAAATGTAGTTCCGAAACGCGCAGTTGATAGCATTTTACAACGACAGTTTCACGCATAATCATACGAGCTGTGTTAACTTACTGAGTTCGAAACACAACGTCTTCAAAATCTTTTAACTGATCGATATTGGCATGCGCAGGCTACATGTTAATAATCGCAGCTGCGCGCTAGAGTAACCTGCTTTACAATCACAGTCTGAACGAGGGAAACTAGAGAAGGTTTAGAGATTGTTTCTTATTTCCTTGTTGCTTGCCCGGCACTGGCTATCAACCGAACAGCTCGAATCCTGAAACTACATAATTCTCCTTAAACTTCGCCTATTACGTCCTCTTTAAACTTCCCAAAATTTTTGCATCAATTCCCTCTTTTTTCTGGAAGAAACCAGTTAGATCCTTCATGGGGGGAAGCAATCAGTTCTAGCAACGCCGGAAACTAGTTCTATTTCGGGTTTGTTCTAGAACTTCTAGCTACTTCACTTCAGCAGACGGATCAGATGACTACGTGTGGGAATCACGCGCCATCCATCGAACAGCCTCAGGCCAACTGAAACGAAATTAAATGTACCAATTTGGTTTTCTTGTACTTTATATTCATATCATCATTCATTGGATTTATATGTTTATTTTGCCTTTCGGTTTTGGTGTAATACGATGAAACACTACGTCTCCATGCAGTAGTTCCAATCGAAGGTTGATAATCTAATTTGGGTAGCCAGGAAAGGAGCACACACGAACATGTTTAGCTATGTCTGTTTATTAAACGAACATCTCTTACGTTTTCGTGTCAGTAAACCGCAAACCGGCCACGAGAATAAGCCATGTTTGTTTCTCGAATATTGAATGTATTTTCACGACAATCGAGCGATGTTCGCTGATTCAGAACGCAGATAAATTTACAAAGGGAATGACGCGGAAACTTCATAACATGAGAAAAGGTCAACAGTGAATAAGCTTTCATAAGATTGTTAGCATAAAAACTTACTGTTTGGAGTTCAGTTCAAGCACCATATCCTGTCAAAAGGAGCCTTTTTGGTCCGTTTTGAACATAATCGTTACTTCATATGCAAATCTTTTAGAGGCACGTACATCCCACGAAAGCATGGCAACAATTTTGCCGAGGCTCGCTCGAGTAACCCCCTTGATCGCTTGAGGAATGTCGTTTTGTCGGTTGAGATCTTTCGTCATCAAATCCCTATTCAAACAATCAACATGATCATTATTTATCGACGTCTTACAATCCTGCTAATGGACTTAGGATAAGATGAAAAAACCAAGGGTGCTGATACTAGATAATTAATAATTAAGTTTGATTTGTGAAAAATTAATTTGAACTCCATTTCTTTGGCGTGTTTGACATATAAATGTTGTGCCTCTCGAAATAAAAGAAGGCCCTTATTCAACCTGAGTGGTTGTAATACGATAGATTTCAGTGTGTTATTTACGCACAGTGATATTTGAAACGCTCTCTGGCGCATTTTAAGATTAGACATTTTAAGTACAAATTTGGTGGAGTGGATGTCACGCCTTCCGTTGAATCTTAATTTCCTACTTGGAGGTTGGGTACAGTACACATGCAGCGTACAGGGAATACGTTCGCCGATGGGATTTCGCGCGCAAACAATCCCTGTTGTGGCTGTGAACGGAAATGAAGGGTTCGCAGGACGGGAGTCGAGCGAATTGGTTACCAAAGGCGCGAAAATCGCATAAAAGTAGAAAAGAACAAATGCGCGTATCAAACTTTTCTCGAAGGTCTCCATTTCGTGAGCTAGGATTTAAAGTGAAAATGCATAAGTCGTTAAACTAACATACGCACACGAAAAAAAAAAACAGACCGGCCCCTCAAAGGTAATTGACAGCCCAGCCACTGCAACTTCACAAAACCAAACTCGATGACATTTGAAGAAAGGGTTAAAGAATGGTTTGGGTATGCCACGATTTTAAAAAAATATTACTTCTCTAAGACAAGAAGAAACTAAAAGGTTTGAAATAAGCCAAGAGTTGACAAGGAAGAACACAGATGGACAAGATCGAGCGGACGATCTTGAAAGATTTGGGTTTAACTTCTGTAGTGTATTGGGAACATAGTAAAAGTACTTGTACTTATGTTAGTAATATCACTGTGATATTGTGGGACTATTGTGATACTGTGGGACTACTGTGATACTGTGGGACTACCGAATGATGTAAAATTACTTTAATCAAGTTACATGATTGCACCAGCTTATTAGATAGTTTATCAATGAATAAAGACACAATATAGAAAGCAATTAAAGAGTGAGTGTTTCCGCTAAATAAATACACAACTACTTCGATTAACTTTTAAGATGCAAGAATGGCTATATTCAAATTTCCTAGCCTTTTCCATAACTTACGATCAGGGAGCTATAACTCCTTGCCTAGGCCATGCCTTGCCTAACCACTACCAGTTAGCTATGGCACAGGTGGGTATGATGAATATAAAAAGGCATTCCAATGATCCCAAAAAGTTTTTCCTCTGTAGTATACCGTTCTGTGTATTTTCAGGAGCCAGTGAATTTGAATTGTATTTAATTTTTCCCCCGGTTTTCGTCATCTGTTCTCTACAGCAGCTCAGCTGAAATTCTATTGGCCAAGCTAGATTCTTATTATCTCTGTGGCTGACACAGATGGCTGATGAAAGATAACAAGAAAAAAAATACTTTATTGGTTCCCTTGGGCCCTTTTTCTTTCCGGAGGCGTGACGGGGCGTGTTCCCATAATTGGAAAAAGATCTGGAAACTAGTAATTGCGTCATCACTTAGTAAGAAACCGCTGGATATGTTACTTTATGGCCTTTTTGGCGCAGCAATGGCCGTCCCTCGTGGTAGTCAATGAGAACTCTTGACTCTCGAAACATGTAAAGAAACGCAGTTTGCTCTCAATTAACACCATGACGAACATGCGTTAAGCACAAAATAAACCAAAGAACAGCAAGCCGACAGTCTTGCCTGAAAGAATGCCTTCTTCGAACATCAAACGCAAGAAAAAGCCGGGACCCACGAACTCTCCGACTTCGAACGGAGGTAGTGGAAATTACACAGAGACGGCAATGGACGAGTTTCTGGCCCGCTTGAACTTGTACAGAAAGCCAATCGCGAAGGATGGCTCCTGTCTTTTTAGAGCAGTGTCAGAGCAAGTAAGTTCCGTCGCTTTGTTTATTAACAGAATGATTTAATAAAGGCATTTTAAGGATTTAACATAACTGTTGTTATTCCTATGTTTGATCGTCCATCACCAGCTCTAGAGACGTTCGAAATTCTGTTTTTCGCCTTCATCAGTGCTTTAGTGCTTTACCTTCTGATAATTTTTTATGTAACTTATGTTTCTGTTGTTCAACAAACAAACCTTCTCTTGGGATGGCCTCGTGATCGAACGCTCAATCGATACGAACGCTACGTTAATCAAATGTTTCACTTTGTTCTTTCACATTAACTCAATTTATAACATGTACATTTAGAAAACTTCCTACGATATTTTTTCTCGCAGCAATTTCTTGTTGCTTTAATTTGTTAATTACGACAGTTTCACCCCAGAAAGATTTAAGCGTTTAGAGTTAATGACAGTTAGTGAATGCACCTACGTATGTAGATCTGAAAATTACTCTGTAAAACGTCAGCTTGCCCGCATTCGGTAACTAAAAATGCCAGCATGCTATCTTTGTTTACATGCGAAATAAATTGCAGGAGTTCAAGTTATGTAAAACTTTTATCCAGTGGATAAACATTTGTTTTAGAAGTCTTGCTTTACTTGTCGTTCTTCGGAAAGAGGAATTAACAAATGATCGATGCTTTTGTTTTTTTCCTGTTTGTTTTAAGGTCTACAACTGTCAAGCCAAACACCTCCAAGTCCGTAAGGATTGCATAGACTTTATGAGAAGAAACAGGGAGAAGTTTGAAGCGGTAAAGTATTTTGATAGTATTAAGAGTTGTTTACATAAAAAAAATTTCTACAGCAAAGGCAGCTTAGGGTCCAGAGCCCAGTTCTTAAGCAATCAGTGAGTGTAAATCTAGGATTAGATATTAAAGTTGCTTTTCATTTGTCATCTAACCCCTAAGACACATTAATTAGAGTAAGTGAATACTTAACTGTTCAACTTCCAGAAGTGATTAAACCTTTAACTCCCAAGATCTCACTAGTAATTCTCCTTACTGTCTGCCAAACAATTATCATTATGTTTGTTTGGAGAATTTGGTACCAGATCAATAAGTAATCCTATAATTGATATTTTTCTTAATTCTCATCACTTGTCTACATGATATTGTATAGATATAGTAAGGAGAAATTCTGTCTTGGTCACTCACATGTAACTTCTTCCTATCACATTCTTACATTATCCAGCAAATAGGCAATGAAAATACTCCAATTTATCAGGTAGAAGTTGAGTTCATGATCTAACATCAAATTCTTGTAATTTGTGTACAAGGAAATGTGTAGCAGCTAGAGGGAAGAATTAAAAATTAGATTTTGGGAAACCACTTCTGGAAGTTATAGGGTTGAAAGCCATGCAGGGCGTGAAATTAACTTTTTTTTCTGATAGCCACTTGGCTCCTGAATTCTTCAAAGTGGTAGCCAATTCAAAAAAAGTTGGTCGCCATTTTCAAAGACAAACAAAATCTTTCTTTACACTGTCAACGTTCTAGATAGACCCTCCAAAATTAAGTTAGGGAAAAGATCTTTAACATGCTACAAAGTGGACACTAGGATGTATGATATACAACCTTCAGGCTCATCTAAATCCAAGATGGCTTCTAGGTATCGATTGAGATACATGTGCTACGTTTTGGAAACGAACTAAACATGGAAGTTTGCCACGGATTTATCTTTGCAAATTTATTTAATTCACTATATCTCTTGGTAAGGTAATGATGAAACGTTGTAGTCGCCAATTTGGCAACTAACTTTCAGGATTTGGTCGCCAAAGTGAAAAATTTAGTCGCATTGGCACCTGTATTAGGTGCAATTTCACGCCCTGCCATGAGATGTCAAGTGCTTGAGCATGAAACACCAAAAGTAATGTCATTGATACTCTCTGCAGCATAGTTTGTTGTACTAATAACTATGATGATTATTGTTCTAGCAACATTGTGAAGTAACACAATAATCATGGACGCTTATTATTGAAGCCCTGATACATTGATGTAATGTTAACCTTCCAACAATCCTATGTTTTCAGTTTTTGGAAGGACCATTTGATCATCACTTATTCAGACTACAAAACCCAAAGGTACAGTACATGTAAAGTAATTTGTGAGTTTTCCAACATAACAAATTGGATAAGTGTTGAACTTCAAAAAGGTTTTGCACAGGAGAAACACAATCATAACTGCAATAAATACTTAATCCTTTGCACTGTTACATTAGCGTGCATATTCTCTGTACTGTTCTATATACATTGCCAAAGGGGCTGATAAGGAGAAATTGTCTGACAATCAAGAGCTTCTTCATTTTGGTGATCATTTCCTTTATTCTCATGACCTGAATGTGTGATTTAGAGGTGATATTGTAAAGAGAAATTAGATCCTAGTCAGTCTAAAGGTTCAAGGGTTAAGAGCTGCTGCTTAGGTAAAAGGAAATTTTCAAAGACTTCACACTTCAAACCTGCTAAAAAAAAAACTTTGTATACTCAGTCAGAATTTGTTGGCATTTATGATCTGTGAAACTTTCTTGCCTTCATTTTCATCACAGGAATGGGCAGGACAGGTTGAAATAAGTGCTCTTTCACTGATGTATAAGTAAGTAGTTTGTATAGATAGTTGTATATACAAAATATATGTACTTGACTCTCAAATTTGTTGCCTGCTTGTAGAATCTTTGCAAACTGAGAATTGAGTTACAAGAGGTGACTGCTAACTTGCATCTGACAAGTGCCTTAGACTACCACTAAATTGTCTTAACTTCAGTTTTCTGGTAATAAAATTTTCTTGTGCTAAAACTTCATCTGGTAGAACAAAAGACAATACAACCTGTTGTTGACTTTATTAGTATAGATGAAGCAGACATAACAGTTTGTTTTAACTTCCAGGAAAGACTTTGTTGTTTATCAAGACATCAATGCAGAACCCACCAAGGTGACTGACAACAATTTCAAAGACAAGGTAATTATCATGATTAAGTGGGATGCTTGTGGTAGACCATGTTCATTGTAATCAGAA